GTGTATATGTAAAGAGATTCTCTAAAGTGCAGAGTATCCATTCCTATAAATTTTTATACAGACTAAAAGTTTGAGAGTTATGACCTTCAGCTTTAAATATGTAAATACATCGACTTCATAATTCTCAAAGTGGTTTCTTCTTTGTTGTAAACATAATTTAGACTTGATAAAACAACCACTTTATTTAGAGTTGTATTACACATAAAAACTAAGCATGCATATGTTGGTCTTTTGTGCTAGTGTTGTAAAATCAAATTTCCCAAATAAATATTGAGATTGGTAGATATTAGGTTAGAACAAAATAGTTGACTTTTAAAATATTGTGACAAATTACCACATGCAATATTACACAACAAAAGTTTCCAAGTTTTTACAAACAAGAATTCTGAACTCAATTAAGAAAGACAAGAGTATCTTAAAATAATATAAAATTATATACATATTTTGTACCTTGAATTTATGCTGAAAACATTTCTCAAGCTTGACTCTTAGGCACAAACCTGAAAAGATTTGAAAAAAAAGAAAAAAGAAAAGAAGCAAAACATACGAAAACATAAATAAGTACCATGAATCTATCAGTTTAATACATATATGTGATTTCTAAAACATAATATGCGAACATTAATGACACGTCTCATAACAGCAAGTGAATATTCTCTAATAAAAAACACATCAATAAAGAAATCTATGTGTTTGTTATGCATGTGTGTTTATATATAGTACTTGTATAGGTACAAGATTTAAAATGGGGGATGGAGAAAATAGCTTTATAATGCATCACAGGAATGTAGCCTAACTTTATTTCTTGCTGCTCTCTTAATGTTATTCACCATTGTAGGTAGAAATTATCTGAATCATTTTATGGAATTTACCACAGGACAATTTCATTTTTATACAGAGCCATCTATCTTCAAAGTCATGTACTATCCCATGATAGGGAAAGTAAAAAAAGTATTATGGAAAAACCAATGCAATGAAGAAAACGTAACATTCAAATTTTACACAAGTTAGTAAGTAATAAATGGAAAAATGAAAAATTCTGACAGTTTTTATTTTTTGTGTAAAAAATATGGGGAACCAATTTTCTTCCACAGAAATACTTAAAGAGATTCCATTTTCCAAGTGGCCTGGACTCAAGAGATTTAAGTGCTATCATAAACACTGATATATATATAAATGCCTGAAAAAAATCATGTAGCTATGATTAATTATTCAAACAAAATTTGTACTTAAACTTGATATTTAAATACTATTAACATCCTCATATTCCCTTGTGTAAGTACTTTGAAAGAATTTGCTGTGAAATGAAGCTTTAAGTAAGAGAACTGTAATAATAATGTCTGAATTAGTAAATTTATTCAAGAACCTCCCCTGCAACAGATTATGTAAAATCACATGGATAACAGGTACAATGCAACTGACTGTTGGAGAGGTAAACTAAGTTAAGCGTTTACCTACTTTGCAACATGAAAGAGGTATACAACAATGTTGACAAAAACTGCTGTTGGAAATAGCTGTTAAACAAACAAAATAAAAATAAGGAATGACATAAACAAAATCAGAAGAGTTATAAATCAGTGTATATTCAATGTATAAACATAAAACAATATTTTAAAAATACACAATTTACCTTTGTTACTGTTTTTCCCAATATCTTTGGTGTTACACTAACAAAAGTTTAAGGTCTTATTATCTGTACTAGTGAATCAGTTCATAAACTTGTCACATTTTTGCACAACTCTCATACACTTAAAGCCGCATCACAATCATTTCTTTCTTTGACATCAACATTCACATTATAAAAATGTCCACAGATATACTTATTTAGGCCATTATTGCTGTCACCCTTTAGAAATGAAACACATACCACTCTTAAAAGACAATTCTTAGCACCAAGATATTTTATGCCCAGAAGACCAAGATCTTAATCATAAAGTTAATGTAGTAGCAAGGATTTTTGTACAATAAGGCTCCCCTCTTTACACTGTCAAAAAAAAGTGTGTTGATTACCCTAAAGTTACAGAAAAAATTCCATGTTAAATAACTTCTATAAAGCGTAGTGTAATGTGAAAAGGAAATTTATCTGTGATTAAACCCACCACTGTAGACATGCTCGCCCACCTCCTTTTACCTTTTATGACATTAATTCCTACAAAATTAAAAACTAACTTAATAATAGTTTCACAAAATAAACAGAACCTACTTATGCAGAATAAACATTTGTTACAAATGCCCATACATTAATAACACTAATTAAATACTTCTATTTAGAGGATGATATGCATGCACATTAAACAGGATGAAACATTAAAATGTCAATTTCCTGAGAACCCTTAACCCTTTATTTGTTTCCACCAACCTTAATGATCTTGCTGACATACAAGTTTCTTTCATCAAGTTTCTTTCATCCAAAGTTTCTTTCATCCAATAGTTTCTTTCATCAAGTTTCTTTCATCCAATAGTTTCTTTCATCAAGTGTCTTTCATCCAATAGTTTCTTTCATCCAATAGTTTCTTTCATCAAGTGTCTTTCATCCAATAGTTTCTTTCATCCAGTAGTTTCTTTCATCAAGTTTCTTTCATCCAACAGAATAAACATCATTTCATCTTCCATTTACCACAGAATTCCCCAGTTGTATAAATGAAATGTTTTATTTTAAATGGTTCCAGTCTTGTGTTAAGCATTATAAACTACTCTTTTCCCATTTGCTCACGTATATGACGAAGGGACTGAAAACACTATAGGACTTGCAATAAGTCACACTTCAATATTCTATTATTTTCCATTCATTCATTAAACTTCAACATTTTACACAACTTACACATTTTATGTCTAACACTAAAAAAAAAAATCTACACTACTTCCAAACATGTAGAATAATACTTCAAAGTTTAGCAAGAATTGTAGCAGTTTTAAAATATTTACAAGTATTTTCTACACCAGATATGAATAAACCATAATACTTCACATTTTTACCATAAAATATACTTATAAGTAATATATATATACATATGTATCTTTATAAAAACCAAACCTGAACAGTAAATAATCCTATTTGTTATACATCAGTGCTAAAATCATGGAAATGAAAAAAACAAAATACTAAACAGTCAACAGTCTTGGTTTACAACATGTAGCTAAACCTAAACACTTTTTTTAAATGTAAAATAATTAGGGTGTAGTTGGAAAATTACAAGTCTGGTATCCTTTAAATATCATTGAAGGTTTGTTTATAGTTAAGAATAAAGCTACACAGTGGGCTATATGATCTGTGCCCACCATTTTTAGTATTATAAGTCTGCAGACTTAACGCTGAGCCACACAGGGCTATCACTGATTAAGAGAAAATCTTAAACAAATACAGACAACAAGCAAGAATGAATAATAAAATGCCTTAAACGGTAATTACATTCCTTGATCAGTAGATGTTTATTTTCATATTGACTAGAAGAAATTCTGAAGAAACAGAGAAATAAATATAAATATTACTTGATCAAAATCATCTTGGTCTAAGTTTTTTCAGGATCAATGATAAAAAGGAATCTTTAAAAAACATGGAAATGAAAAAAGAAAATACTAAATTAAACATTATACATTTGTTCTGTTGGACTTCTGTAACAGTATAAACAATTAAAAATAAAAAGAGAGAATCATATTATTATCTTAACAAACAGTTAGATTTTCAAAGTAGCAATGATGACAAAAGTCCTAAAGAATCAGAAAAATGAAGAAAGAAGTACTCATCTGTTTAGGTAAGCTTTTGAATAAATAATGATGATGAGATGGAATCATGATGAATTAGAGAAATGATACAAGAAACAAAGCACTATTTAACAAATACTATTTTTGTAGCAGTAGTCATGAGAGAATATCCTGAAGAATCATGTACACAAAGATAGACAAACTTTTGTAGCATTGGAGTTATAAGTAATTTATATGAAACTAGAGAAACCAAAGACAGAGAGAAGAAAAGCATGGCTGACAAAACAAACAGTACAATTTTCTTTTTACAGACATTTTTAGCACAGTTGTTGAAATGTTGTAAAAGCAAAGGAACAACGGTTTTTTTTTCGACACATGTACAAAAGTTTTAAATTCAATAAATAATACAAATAATGTTTGACTTTATACAGTTAAAAATATTTTATCTGAAAACAATCCATAGTCAACATTAAAACTACTCTACATGTTTTAATAGTTTCCTCCATTGACATACGCAGTTTAGGGAGGATCATGGATTGATCTCAGTAAAAATGTTTTTGATTGTGTAAAGTCAAAAGTTGTATGTATTATTTATTGATTTTAGAACATAAACTATCTTCATAAATACCAAATGAATAAAAGTAATTATTAAAAAACACACTACTTACACATCTGGAAACATCAAATCTAAACAAAGTTTCTAGTTTTAGAAACTGAGTCAAAAATTAAAAGAAAAACTTATATTACCAGAAAAATTCATTATATTTTAAAATGACTAACAGAAAATCAGATATTCAAGATGTAAAGGTTTCATAAGAAATCTAGCGAGGTGAGAAGTAATTTGTAATGTTTGTGGTAAAGCCCCAACAGTTTGTATATTTCTACTATAATAATTACTAACAAGAAAACTTGTGCTTCATGTAGGAAACATTTTTTGGTTGTGGTATTTTGTGTTTCTGTGCACAAGGTTTATAAAATGTAGAGGCAGTGCTGTGTATTTAAAGTAATTAAAACAATTAAGCAACCTGTCTAGACTAATCACACGAAAGGGTAGGTACATAAAATTCTGAACAAACCTGATGGCAGTGCAGGGTGTTCAATGACTGTGAGGTTAAACTTAAGTCGGTCAAAACTATTCCACAACATGTGATACCCACCAAATACCTCTAGTACAAAAGACAGTTTAAGATGAATGGTGTGATTACAAATGACAAACTGATCAACACTTTCAAAACCTGGGTATCGGGGGAAAGTATTAAAACTTGACAGGTACTCTAAGTGTCTAGAAACACATTATTTCCCTACCCCTAATTTCATTTTTGCATAATTTAAAAAGTTTCCCAAGGATTGCACAGTCACACACATTACTCTTTTATTAATATAGATTCACACTGTGGCAATGATCATTTTATAGTTTTTTTTGTTACATCTTTACAATGTTTTGATGTTTTTTCTTAGTTATGGTCCAATATTTCTAATGGGATGTGATTTTATTTTACGAGTGATAGTTTACATTTGTTTATTACTAAACATATTAACTGATAAAAATGCACTGAATAGTAGTATATTTGAAGACTTGTAACAACAGATGGTCAAACTTTTTCCAGAATCAGCCGAGGCTGTTATGTTGTCTGTAATGAAGCTTACAAAACTCAATATGAAAGTGTTTCACAATGTTTGTCATGAATGATTCACAACACACTGAGTGTGAGCATAGATAATCCTGACATGCAAAAAAGGTGATTTTGTATTGTTCTTATCCTACAAGTTTGTATATATATATTTCTGTCATTTCACTGGCTATTGCAGTGCGGTAGCATATACTTAATTGAATCAAGCACCGAGAGCAAGTAAGAATAAAAATCCTTACCTATTAGTGTTGCTAGGGTACAGTGAGGAACCGTTGGAGTGAACTGTATGCTGATTAACAGACTGTCTCCAAAAGGTTTTACACTAATATCACTTTCACTAACCACATCCAACTGTTCCAGGGTTTGAGGAAGCTCTGGGTCACGAATGTCTTTAACCAAATCTTAATTTAAAAAGAAGACAATGTATTATCCCTCATACTGCTAACAAGTGCTTGAGATTACTTGAGCAAAGTATAATCTATTGGTCATGACAGTAATTTAAAAAACTGGTAACCTCTTCTCTAACAAGAGGTATGAAAGAAATTACTATATTTATTTATTATCCCCATTTTACACCAAGGACAACACTCAAATAACGTGGAAACCATATGTTAGTGTAGAGAGACACTATGTTGGCATTTATAGGCTTGGATAAATGGTTTATGGGATCTATTTAAGCAGTGAGAAGATACACTGGAAGTGTAAATTTCAATATTAAGGTTAACAAATATGATGCTTTTAGTTTTTTTATATTAATCAAAATATGTTCAATTAATATATGGACAAGAAGGACTACATCTAATCTGGTTTTCTTGTTTTGCTACATGTACTCTGGATGGTTTAAGTTAGTGGAAAGGTGATCTTGATGAATAAAATGGCCATCAGTCACATCAGGTAGCTTATTCTTATGGTCAAATAACAAGAAGATACCTATTTTCCTCAGAGCCTAAAACAGAAGCCAAATTCTTCAGGTTCTAGCCTATGGCTAAATAGTTGCTATTACATTAACAGCATTTCGTAAAGAAAATCAAGTGTACAATCATAGTACATGTACAGGGTGACATTTGGTGGATAACTTCCCAACTATAGTAACTCTTTGTTTATTTTTATGCATATGTATTATATTTCAATTATTCAACTGTGTGCTGAGGACAAGTAACATAAATGATGTTGTCTCATTTATTATCCCCATTTTCTACACCAAGGACAATACAAAGTAACATGAAAAGTAAAATAACTTTGTTAGATATGTAGAAATCAGATTTATATAGTTAATGGACAGAAGTACATCAAGTAAAAAACAAAATTACTGCAACATCTGAAATCTATAAGCTCTATAAAGTGAGATACACCTGATAACTAGAATTCACTTCTCTTACTAAAACAACCTGCTGATATAAAAATTAATCTATGTCAGTCACTTGTTAAAAATGTTTAATACTTTTACTTGGGTTTGATTATACATAATACTAGGTTTTAAATCATATACACAATTTAGAAAAGTCAGGATTATGGAATTTTGTACAAAGTGAAAACCAAAATCTCTAGATTATGTAACTGGTATTTAAAGCATCCATGTCATATGGTTAGTAGGGATATGTCTTTTAATAACAAGTCATTTCATTTTCCTCCAAAATATAGAAAATGTTGAAGGATGACCTACAAGTTAAAAAATCAACACAGGTTACATTTCCTTTTAGCTTATCTAATGTCTATACTGTACCTTTAACTATTATTACAGACCGTGAAAAGCAGCTCTAACTATTGAAAGCTATGTGCAAAAGAATTAGAAAGTCCATAAACTCTAAAAGGTATATGAAAAGCATAAAACAACAAAAAATATTGCTTATATTTCTTTGTAACGTATATATTACAAAACAACTCGTTAACTGTACAAATGTAAAACTTCAAATATACATTTACTGTATCAACAGATATGTAACAAATTCATAAAATCTTGTGCAATAAATAAATTTACCATAGATTTCTTCAACAAGAGTTTCACAATCAAAGTTAGTTTTGTCCATATTCTTACTGTACATCGAAATTTTACTCCATTCAATAGCTGTATTCTCACTGTTATGGAAAAAATAATTAGCTTTGATAATCTTACCAATGCATGTTATTTTAGCATGCATGATTTTTGGTGACAGACTATTATCCTGATTGCTTGAAGTGGTTATATACATTTTAAAAAACTTGAAAAATATAATCATAAAACATACCTAACAACATGCCATATAAAAAATTTGTATTACAAGAATACAGACAAACCCTTAACATAAGTTTGTATTGACATTTTATATTTTGATTTGTTTCAGTGTTTGTTTATATATTTCCTACATTGAAAATGTGTTTCTGATAGATACTTACCTCTCCTCATATAATAGCTTTTCTTATTCAGTTGTGCACTCTATATGCACAATTTTTACTTGCCACTGGCCTTGATACTCCCACTTAACCCCATGTGTTTACACATGGAACAGCTGAGCTGTAGCATACAAATAAGCATGTGAAAGCCCTCCACCAATAGGAGTGTGAAACACCCTCCTGGTGCAGCTGACTCTCTCTATACTGTAGAACCCAATCTTCACTTTGAGATTAGGCAAAAAAGAAGCACCGCAAATGAGGAGGATGTGTGGAAAGTGAGAGGAGGTAAGTATCTATCAGAAGTACATTTTAGTGTTTGAAAATTATAATTTCCAATATACATAAAGGGAGTTTAGTGACATCATGAAGGTCATTCAGTTTTCCAGGAAATGTGTAGTCTATTTCTCTATGTACTGTTGTAAGCATCTCATTTCCGGCACAATGTAGGCAAAAGTGTATGTGAAAAGGTGTTAGGGATATTTTACTTTAGAAATGGCTAAATATATGTATATTTAAAACTATACTTAAGTGTTTAAGTAAAATAAAGGTGACATCTGGAGACTGATTCCTCTTATTATTACCTATCAGTTTAAACTCAGAAACATTTCACAAATTCTGAAAAAACATTTTCATCTCCTGCAACTCAATGATCATCTTAAACAGATATTTCCTGAAGTTCCCATTGTCTGCTCCAAAAAAGCAGAACTATAAAAGATATCCTTGTTCACACAAAAGTGAATTAAATCCCATCCAAAAATGGTTGTCATCCACGCAATGAAGCCCGTTGTCAAACCTGTAAGTTCATAAAAACCACTGACTCATTTTCTGACAAGCACAATCAGAGAAACTTTAAAATATCCAAAGAAATCACTTGTGACACAAAAACCACCATTTACCTTATACAGTGTAATAAATGCAATCACTAATATATAGGTCATACACAAACAAGTCTTAGAGTACGTTTCAACAACCATAAATCTTCTATTAACACTGAAAAAAGATCTTCCCGTTGCTTAATACTTTAACCAACCCAGACATTCCATTAAAAATGTTACTCTCATCGGCACTGAAACAGGATTCAAAACTAAAGTAAATAGAGAAATAAAAAAAACTTATTGGATTGCTAATCTAAACACTGTTCAACCTTTTGGAATTAATCTAGAACCTGGAATCAATGATCTCTGTTCAGTGGTTTCATCTCTGTCAGAAAAATAATTTTTATCATTTGCTTATTTTTTTCATGTAATGTGAATTTCCTAAAACTTACTATTTATTTAAGATAATTGATTAGCATAACTTATCTTTTTCAATCAGTCTCCAGGTGTCACCTTTATTTTACTTAAACACCTAAGTATAGTTTTAAATATATATTTAGCCATTTCTAAAGTAAAATATCCTTAGCACCTTTTCACATACACTCATGGTTGACGACTGACACGAGATGTGGAAATCATCAACATAAAGCCCATTTGCAACAGTCGGAAGAAGATTATTAGTGATAGCATTAATCTTAACATTAAAAAGTGTGACACTCAAGACACAGCCCTGAGGGACTCCAAGTTCCTGTGGAAAGGAACGGGAAAGAGTTGATCCCACATGGACTTGGAATCGCCTGTTCAGTGAAAAGTTTTGAATAAAAATGGGTAGATGGCCACACAACCCATAGGAGTGGAGATCCTGCAAAATTCCATACCTTCATGTGGTGCCTTCTTGGAATAATTGAAAACAGTAGTAAGCAAAACAAGTAATTTTGATTGGTTAATTACTTTTGTGACATTAACCAATTAATTGTAATTTTGATTAATTTATTAGTTCATGCGATACTAATTGATGTAATCATTGCTCACAGGCAATAGATTAAATAGCCCAGCTCTAATTCTCACCATTAATCAACTCCATTAACAACCTTAAACACCTCAATCAGATTCTCTTTAACTCTTCTTTCAAAATAAAACAATTTTAGAAATCTCATACTGACAACCTTTCCATCTCGGGTATCATCCTGGTAGCCTTCCTCTGAACCCTCTCCAACAATTCAGTATTCTTTCTAAGGTAAAGAGCTCAAGACTGAACACAATACTCCAAATTTGGCCTACCAATAATCTATACAATGAAATTATAACCTTTCTTAGACTTGTATTCAATATTTTTGTAGGTACAAATTAAAATCATACTTGCCTATAAACAACAGCACATTGATTGGCTGGCTTAAGAGACTAATCAACTAGAATCCAAAAGGTCCTTTTCTTCCATAACACTATTAAGGTTATTCCCATTTATTTGTCTAACCTACCAAATAATGCAAATATTTTCTAAAGCAGCAGCATCCTTGCAGCCATCATTACCCAAGGCCCTAATACCATCAGAAAATTAAAAAAATATAATATTGAGCATTTTTTCATCTGTATCATTGATATAAATCAATAACAGCAAATGTCCTAACACTAAGCCCTGAGGTATCCCCCCAGTGACATTACGCCAGATTGACTGAGCTCTATTTATAGCTACCTCCCACTTTAAATAAAACTCCAAAGATACAGCTTTTGAGTGGAATATTTATTTTTATTTAACTTTTTTACATTGTTTTGACCACTCATGTGGCTATCATGAGGTAACTGTCTATTTTGTGAAATACTGAACTGTTTTAACATGAAAATCTTCTACAAATCAGTAATGATAACAACTATATAAAGTCAGACTCGGCCCACTCAACTAAACAAGAAATTGGCATGTTATCATGCATTTACAACACAGCATTTAACATATGTGGTAGCAATAATCTGTAGCATGAGCTAGAGTCAATATCTGACACATTAATTAACATATGTTGTCTCCATAAATACATTGTTACTAGAACTTTAGCCAATATAAAAACAAACTCAATAACAGAACAAAAAGAAAGGGAAAACAACATAAACTCCATGAAGGAAACAAAATGCACAAACTCTGACAAGCTAATAGGTGTCTAACCATATCATAGCCTTGTAACCAAAAACATCATAAACATTTGGAAACAAGCATAAAAAATACAAAATAAGCAACAAAGTTACTTTTATTCAAACACCAAGCACTAAAATCAAAGCACCTCTAAGGAAGGTTTATTCTGATAACTTCAACAACGGAAGCATCTACAAGTATCAATGCAATCGTTGCATTAGTACTTACATAGGTGAAATTGGATGCAACATAAGCATTAGCATCAAAGAACATAATAATCCCCCTTCACACATTTACGAACACAGCACAACAAATCAACATCCAATTAACATTAAAATATTATGCAATGAGAACAACATTAGTAGAAGAAAAATAAAAGAAGCATCAATTATTCCTGAACTAAAACCTAATTTAAATCAAAACACAGGTGTCACCTTATATATTCTCTAAATTGGAATGAAATGCTCAATCAGTATTCACAAAATAGAGAAAGTTACCCGATGTTGGCCACACGAGTGGTTAAAACATCATAAAAACAGTTAAATAAAAATAAATATTCCACTCAAAAGCTGAATCTTTGGACTGTTATTTAAAGTGTATAGTGGATTTCCTTTCCTCTCAGCAACCTCTTTTCTTCCACCCAGCTATTTTCTGTCCAATAAGTAAACTTATTTGCCACAGCTAAGAAGATAATTTTTTTAAAATGCCTTTTATATGGAATTTTGTCAAATGTTTTCTGAAAATCCATACACTCCAAATACACACCATTACCCTCCTCTACATAAGCAGTAACCCTTTCAAAGAATGTCAAAAGATTAATAAGGAAAGTCTTTCCCTAGTGAAACCATGTTGACTATTCAATAAAATTTTACACTTTGTTAAATGACTTTACTAAGTTTGTAATACAATACTTAATATAGCACAACTAATGACTTGAGGAGAAGTGCTGGATTTTTCATACCTGTAGATTTTACCGCCTGCTATAGATTAGAAGCCCCCCCCCCCAATTGTTTGTAATAGGATACGAGTCCTTGTACTTGAATCATTTAGATTAGATGCATTATTTGTATTAGACTGAATACTGTTATATTTTCTCTTTATAGTGTTGGATGCTTTTTATAACTCTAAAATCTGTTAATATTATTTATTAAAATATTTCCACGAAGGGACATTTGTATAAAAGTATTGTCATAGAGGTTCTTCAAAATAAACATTTTAGAAATCTCATACTGACAACCTTTCATCTCGGTATCATCCTGGTA